AAAATCCATTCGTTAACAATAACTAATCCGTTCTATCAGTGTACCTGATAGAAGGGAAGGGAATAAATCGTAGAAACTCAAGAGGGTATATGAAAGAACAAAAAAATTTTCTACTTTTCAATAATCTATAGATTTGTCGTACACGGAGAGAAATATTCACTTGTAATACCACAAGAGCTTCAAAATTATCGGGTATTTTCCGATAGGTTCATTGCAAACAAACGAAGGAGTCAAGTTTTTCAGGTTAAAAAATCACGAGTGCGAAGCACGAGTGATTTTTCCTGAAAAACTTGACGACTTCGTTTGTATGCAGGGAACCTTGAGGAAAATGCCCGATTAATTTTGAAGCTCGTGTGGTATTCGGGCAATTATTCTTCCAATCCAAATGTCGGGCAATATAATTGGACCATGAGACGAAACTCACNAAGGGAAACTTGAGGAAAATGCCCGATTAATTTTGAAGCTCGTGTGGTATTCGGGCAATTATTCTTCCAATCCAAATGTCGGGCAATATAATTGGACCATGAGACGAAACTCACAATTGAGAAACGAAAATTGTATAATTAACACAACGACACAATTGCATTCAATCTGTCAGTTTGACGAGGGGTTAATTCGACTGCATGATGTTTTGTTTTTTATATAGCAACTACCAGAGAAAATTATCAAAAAATTATCAGTTGAAAACCCTGTAGCTTGTACCACGTGATGTCGAATGGGCCAATTATATTGCCCGATATTCGGGTTGGAAAAATAATCAAGAAAAATTACGGAACATTTCACGTAATCCGCAAGCGAGAATCGTCTTCAGTGAATTTCTATAGGAATATAAGAGAATAAATCTGAAACGTTCAGTAAATTTTCGGGTCTGTCACCGAAAAAATACGAAAAAGTCACGTAATTTTTCTGGAAGTTGTAAAATCTAACAGAAACTTCAAGACTTATTATGCCTCAGAACATGAAAATTCTTGGATGTTTAAGAATTTTTACGAAAAGTTCCGGAAAAATTACGGAACGTGTTGTTAAAATCTCCCCCTCACGGTGACTCATGGCTAGCCGTGAGGCGTCGGACGGATGAGTAATTTTTACGGAACAGATTGTAGAATTTACGTGACGATTGACACTTTTTATTGAATTTTACTTCGCTCCCAGATTACTTTTCGAAACGTAATTTTTACGTCTTTTTTCTGGTAATTTTTATTGAATATTTCTCTCCGTGCAGTTACTTTTGAACTTTGGTTAGTTTAACTGCATTTTGATTTGCAAAAATTACACCTGTGAAGTTACTATAATGTTATGTGCCGCATACAAAAAAAATCGTATCGTTCCCCAAAACTGCCTCAACTATTTTCTTATTGTAAATCGAACTTCAGATTTTTCTCTCAGCGCAAGATCACTTTCCACTTCCTGCATTGATTGAAATAATGCGATTTCTATATTGTTATGGCATGCCCTGTAACTCCTTCAATATTTTGGTTTGCAGGTATGGTTCCAGAATCGACGAGCGAAGTGGCGTAAAACTGAGAAGTGCTGGGGTAGGAGTACCATAATGGCGGAGTACGGTTTATATGGTGCAATGGTACGGCACTCTCTACCACTTCCAGAAACAATTCTCAAGAGTGCAAAAGAGAATGAGTCAGTTGCGCCATGGTTACTCGGTAAGTTTTTTGTAACTCTTATGCTATAAAATTCATACACTTTTCATTACATTTTATAAAACTCAGAGAATGAAAAAAATTAGAGAATGTGGCCATTTGAATTCATTTTGTTACATGACTGTTTAAATGAGAGAAGAGAGAGAAAAATCACACCAAACATTACTGAAATTAATAAGAAAAGAAATAGAGAGAACATAGAATCAGTAAGAGAAATGAAAAATTTCAAAGATCATGCGGTAAATTTCGGAAATCTTTTCTGTCCGTTCTCTATCAGCGCAATCGTCTAAGACAAGCGGCTTTAGTCAAGATTTCGAAACTAATCAAGAAATGATTGACTGTGGCCCCGTAGGGATGCACCGAAAGTCGATCGAAGCGGCGGAGCATCTTAAATCTGGTGGAGAAGATAGTGGTAACGATCACGCTGGTAGCAGTGGTAGTCCACATCACAACCATCATCAGGGCGGACCAACCAGTTCAGAGAGTGGACAGGAAAGTCAAGACGGAATGGGCAGCGCATCGACAGGTGAGTTTCTATCAGAAGTAAAGAATAAATTTTTCCGTCAATCAAACTCCGTTCAAACCAACTACCAGCAATGGCCCAGTTATGGAACCCTTGAGAAATGAAGCCCAGTTATGGACCGTATTGTTGTCAATAACTTAGAAGTATTATTGAGTGGATATGTTTGGCTTTCGAGAAAGTATATAGTCCATTTAGTTTCCATTCAAATTCGTTCATCACAGCAAATATATATTTTAAATTTTTAAAAACAGTAAATATATAAGGTCACATAGATTTTCGGATAAATGTACAGTGTTAGAAATTTTTTGGGATTTCATGGAAGATCTTGTAGTAAATCTCATGAGAGTAACATTGAATCGGATTTAGGGAAAAAATGGTTATGAAATTTCGTGTTTTAAGAAAAATTCACGGAAATTCATGAGTTTTCAGTCTGAGCGAGATGGAAATTTCACAACTTGATTGAATTTTCAGTGACATTTCATGACATCAATTTTCAGTTTTTCTCTGAATTATCCTGTTTTTTTTCTGAATTTTCACAGAATAACTGCACTGAAAAATCAAGTATTTTACTGATTTCCAGATCATTTGAACAAAAAATTAATGGAATATTTGATTTCTCAATGACAAGATTCTCTGAAATTTAAGTGGAACTTGAACACGATACAAATTTCCGGAATTTGGCGCGGAAAATTTAGATGAAAATTTTGAACAGCGTAACGCTGATTTCACAAGCGGTACCGGTTCCGTAATCGGGTCACGGACAGTACCTATGATTATTGCTCTATCGATGACTAGTTCTTAAATACATTTCACAATTGTCCATTTGACAATCGTGCAGTGACGTCATGTGTAAGATCCAGGAGTCTAAACCACATGATCTGTACATATCCCTCCCACCACGGTGGCTTTGTGCAGTGGTAGGGATTGGGAATTATGGTCAGGGGGTAGATATGTAGAAAATCGATAATACCAACTGCAACGAGCATGAGAAATTTGAATTAAACACCGAAAAATTAAAAGAGAATCACCAATTACAAATTTTTAAAAATTGGATATCCAACTTGCAGTGTTCAGAGATTTTGGCGGAAATTCACGGCACACTTCCTGGAAATTTGTCTTTAACCCTAGTTGGTCACCATATGAGAACTTGCGACTTGGTCACCTCCGCAGGGAATCGCCGCCGTGTTATTTAGGCCCGAGCGTTGCCGAATTCACTCTATACTGCCCGGGCGCGTTTAGCGAGACTTCGGCAACATCGCACAACGGGCAATTTCATTTAACATGGGAAAAAATTGCCCGTCTGTTAGAAATAATTTTTTTTCTTCAGGAATTGTGGATATAAATAATTTTAAAAAATATTATAATTTTCTAGATACTTGAATTGACGCATTCCAATTTTTTAGGATTTTTCCGCTCAGCCAGTCAATGGTAAGAAAAAAAAATCGACCTTCTGCGGCGTTTCCCTCCTATGGTGACCAACTAGGGTTAAATACCAATTCCACCGAAATTTCAAGGATTTTCGTCATTTATTATTAGCGATCCAATGGATATATTATGAATACTGTAAATTTCAGTTCAATTATTCTGTGAAGGTTGATCGAAATTAGAAGAGTGCAGGTAAATCTGTTCTTGAATTTTCAATTGATGGAAAACTTAGGGCATAAGGTACTGAATATTCTTGTGAGTTGAGTGAAATTAAAAAAATTGTACATTGAACTTGCAGTGAAACTTGAAATTTTCATGATTTTCCCTTCCTAAGTCCAATACAATGGCGCCTTTTTGAAAATTATTACTGAAATGATTATGAAAATTCAATTTTCTTTCTGTGTGGCGGAAAATTCTCTTTTGAAGGTGGATATTTTTCTCAAAGAATACGAAATGAATCACTCGCGGAAGCAAAGTCAGTTGATATTTAATTCACTTCACACTTCTCTTACCTAACTGCGATATAAAAATAGTGCATTTCGATATAAGGCCTAGTGATGCCGCGAGACATTTCATGATACATCACGAGACAATACGTTGGAGGGATTGTCAAAATTTTTGGTCTCGTCTCAGTCTTGAAATGCGCAGTATCGACTTCTCTCGTGATGACTCCAAGTCAATTTATCTCATCTCGGTTTCTAGTTTTTCGCGTTTTTTATATGTAGACAAACGAGATGAGACAAACCGAGACAAAACCTGAGATTTTACATTAAACAGCACGAAAAACTTGAGACCGAGAAGAGATAAATTGATTCGAAGTCATCACGAGAAGAGTCGATACTGCGTATTTCGAGAGTGGAACGAAAAAGATTTTCCTGTCCATTGAGACCGAAATCATCTCTCCAAAGCTTTGTCTCGTAAAGTGTCTCGTGGAATCACTAATAAGGCCTGAAAAAACATTTCTGACGAATATGAGTTTGTATATAACCGAAATTTCCTAATACGTAGACCATATTTACTTGAGAGAAGTAAATTATTTTCAAGGGGTTAGATCTCAGAATGTTTGTGGTTCACAGAACTCAAATGAATCCTCATTTATCACTATCGGTGCGCATTATATCATGAATATGTTACATATCGAGATATTGGAATTACATAACAAAAAATTATGAAAACAATAAATACTTGACGATTGGCGGTTACCTGATTCTTATTGTTTAAAACTAGAAAATTAAGCATTAGAACGCGGGTGTGGTCGGTACATCTCTGAAAATCAAGGGTGTCTCGCAGCTTTATTTTTTCTATCGGTCGAAATTCAGATGAAGGAAATAATCCAATCAAAAATTCACTCGAAATGCCAATTTTTTCGCAATCGGAAGGCGAGGATTTCCCAATTTACTTGAATTTCCAGCCCAATGAATATTCAGTGCGAACCATGCTTAATTTTTGTTAATCGAAAATTCAAGAGTATATTTTTTAAAATTTCCCTGTCTTCGAGGCATTTTCATGGAATGATTGAATTGCAATTTACACATTCCATGAATTTCCCCATAAAATTGTTAATGTTCAATTACAAAACTCCTTCAAATTTGAGTGAAACTGTTACTTTATACAAATTTCAAAACAGTGTACTGAAAATTTCCCCCAAAAAGTCTAAAAAATATAATACTCGTTCATTTTCTCATTCAACTTCGATAATCAAATAATCAATTCTTTGTTGAAACAGGGGTTGTTCAAGATACAGAGCAATTGAGAAACGAGAGTATCGCATGTCTGAGAGCGAAGGCCCAACAACACCAACTGCAATTGAGCCTCCAGCCGGCATCATCCTCAACAGCTAATGCCGGTACCTCCGCACCCGGAAGCACGTCATATCCGACCGGGCCACCGGGCAATACGCTTCACGCCTCGGTTTAATTCACAAATACTATCGTATAATCATCTCCCGATTACACCCACTAAGTGCTTGAACCATCGATGTATTGCAACCCGGTTATTTCAATTGCCAATGGAGATCCGTGCTACTTAATTTCCGTTGATAATCGACTCTACATCTAGAGCCGTGAAGCTATATTTCCGGATGACGTTTTCTCCAATTAGCATCATTTCACATTTTCACGGATATACCAGTGACATTCTCGTAACGACGAATAACCGTTAATTGATTATGTGGAAAATTTATCCACACTCTTTGAATTATTATTATCAACGAATGAAGGGTCTACGAAATGAGGCCTACTATGTAATTCCTAATCATTTGGCCTATTGGTGAACGAATAATAACGAAAGTCTTTCTGCACGGAGAGAAATTTCAGTAAAAATTACGGAAGAATTCACGTAATCCTCATTGAGGAATCGTTTTCCGGCAATTTTTATAGGAACAAAGTACGAAATTGTCACGTAATTTTTCCCGAAGAAGTAAAATCTCACAGAAACTCTCCGACTTATTACGCCTCCAAAATCAAAAATTCTTGAACGTTCAATAATTTTTATGAAGCTGGTGAGTTACTTGTACGTTCTGTTCCGTAAAATTTCTCGATCGTTCACGTATGAAAAAATCCTATAGAATTTCCTATAGGATTTCCTATAGGAAATCCTATGGAGAATTCGAACATTTCTTATAGGTTTTTTCTGGTGGGATTTCCTATAGGATTTTCTATAGGATTTCCTATAGAATTCACTATAGGGTTTTCTATAGAAAGTAACCCACAAAATTGAGACTCGAAACCAATCGGTGGCAAGGGTCAGGATTAGGGTCATAAATCTGATAGGAAATTCTATAGGGAATCCTATAGGAAATC